CCACCCACCCACTCATCCACCCATCCACCCATTCATTCATCTAGTCAATCAGTCAGTCAGTCAGTCAGTCATTCGCCAAACCTGCCTTGAGCAGGACTCTGTGGGACTTTGCTGACGAGTTAGGTCCCTGCTCTCACACCTGATGCTCCTTGCAGACCAGGTCAGGGTCCTCCACCTGGGACACCTTCTCCATCAGCAGTTCATGTGTCTGAAGCCTGCACTCACCCTTCACCCTGCTCTCATCCACAAAGCCCTCTGTGGTCCCTTTTGTCATCTAGGGTCACTCCCTCCCCCTCCATCCACACTGACTCTATGCTTCCCCAGCCACGTTTACTTCTTCCCACTGATGCTATGGTTCTCTCACCACGTCCTGCGTCACCGGAGAGCAGGGCCCCTGACAGGCTTTCCCGCTTGTGTCCCTGCACAGATGTGTACACAGCGCCTGACTAATGCTTCTGAATGAGTGAGTGGTGAATAAATGAATAAATGAATGGAGGGTAAGCTGTGTCTCTTGCAGGATGATGCCAACCCCATACAATTAATTTCAAGCTTCCTTCAGCAATAGGCTGGGACGTTTAGAAACTTAGGGTATTTTCCTGTTAGGTTGACACAGGGTGTGGGTATCGGTGCTGTGTGTGTATTTTTGCCCTTCAGTCACAGGGATAGGATTGTGCTTTGCCATACGCAGTAAGTTTCCTTCTTTGTTGGGAGTTAGCAGGGATTCAGGGGGTGCTTTCTCTGGGCTCAGTCATCTGGATGGTTCAGGGACTGTTATAACTGTGAGTGTATCTCACTTTTATGTGGTGCTTAGAGCATCCCAAGTTTATTCACAGCTGTTTCTCACAACAGCCCTATCTCGTCTTACAGAATTAGAAACGACTGCTCAGAGAGGTTAAGTGACTTACTCCAGGACACCCAGCTGTGAGGACGGAACAGGTCTTCTGACTCAGGTTCCAGCTCTCCTCCCTCCTTTTTGTGCTCCCCACCCTAACGGATAGAGGGGCCCAAGGGGGGGCCATGTCCCTCATCCCATGGCTCCGGTGGAACGAGGCCCAGCCACAGCTGTCGTCCCGGAGCCCGGCTGAGATGGTGCTGGAGACACTCATGATGGAGCTGGCGAGGCAGATGCGAGAGGCCGAGAGGCAGCAGCGGGAGCGCAGCAATACGGTCAGGAAGATCTGCACCGGGGTGGACTACAGCTGGCTGGCCAGCACACCCCGGGCCACCTACGACCTCAGCCCCAGTGAGCGGTTGCAGCTAGAGGACGTCTGCGCCAAGATCCACCCATCCTACTGTGGGCCCACCATCCTCAGGTAACCCCTGGCCCTGGCACGCGGCCCAGCTGTTAAGCTGCAGGCTCCAGGGAGGGTGGCTGCAGTGGCAGGACCTGAGGTTACCAGGACCGGAGGCAGGGGCCCTGGATGACCCAGTCATCTGTTAGAAAGAGCTAGGCAAGGGGAGGGCTCTCAAAGAGGCCCCAGAGCATTGGGCCACCCTAGGGGCTCAGAGGGAGGCAGGGGCGGCTCCTGGATCCAGGCTCATGAGTTTTGATAGGAGAGAACCCCAGGCCTTTGAACTTTCTGGTCTCCCTGTCCCGATGATCATTATCCTGGGTTTTTACCTCCTAGAGAGGTTTTCCTAAATAACAGCTATCCTATTTCAACACTAGCTTGCCTAAGGGGGGTGTGTGTGTGTGAGGGAGTGAAGGGTGCAGAGCCCTAGGGCACTGAACATTAAGAGCTTGGGTACAGTAATGTTCCTGCATATAAATGTCACCTTAATAAAGCCCTGACCTACACAGTCCAGCATCAGATGGATTCCTGCTGAAGTTAAAGAAGCGCTGTCCAACAACCAAAAACAATTTCAAAAGTAACTCATGTTCTCTATCTGCATTTCTCAAACGCTAGTAGATACAGATCCACAGTATAACATCTTAACTCCTCCCCTTTAGTCACCCCGAATCTTCTCTCTTCCATCTTTAACCAACGTATGTATCTACTGTACACCTTTTCCTTCGAAATGCCCCTTAAAAACCCTTCTCCAGTTCTGTCTACACTCCTCTGGATTTTGTCGTCTTTTCAACTCCTTCCCGCTTCTTCCTCCGGGCTGAGAATCTCACCCTTTCCACTTTTCTATATCATGGAAGTACCCCGCCCCCCGGAATGTATTCTAGTTCCAGAAGCACCCTGGGGACCGGGGCAGGGGTGAGTCGTGGTGGTGGGGGGGTGCTGATGAGAGATCTAAGCTGGCAAACCACAGCTCCTAAGTGACGGGAGGCTGAGGACATAGATATGGTAATGATGGCCTGGCCACGTTTCCTGCCTCAGTCGCTGCTGAAAGGTTCGAGTGGTCCTGATTCTCCGTAGGACGTAAGAACCTGTGTAGTAAAGGGACTTGGTGACTATCAGTCACTGTTGAGCTCCAGCAAAGACATTTTAGGCAGAGGAACCAGCTCAGAAACTGCAGGGAGCCAGAGAATCTGGGCTGGGGGACACATGTGACTCTTCCTGGCTAAAGCACAGACAGGGGACCTGGTGTGCATGGCCAAACAGTGATGGGAGCGATGGAAGGAAACTCTCAGGACAGGGACCTCATCACAGACACATTTCAGAGACCACTCTGGGCAGTGGGCGGAATGGAGGGAGAGGGAGGGGATGAGCCAGAAAGCCTCACATCCTAGGGGGTGATAGCAGGGGGCCCCCCTTCACCGACATGGAGAACCTGAGGCCGGTGCCAGGATTTTTCATGTCAGCTCATCAAACCTCACCAAAGGTGGCTGTGACCCGTTTACAGCTGAGGAAGCTGAGGCTCATGGGGGCCAGAAGTGGCAGAGCTGGGATTTGAACTTGGGATGGGCCAGAGGAGTAAGAAGGCTCTCTATTCACTTCTGGAGAAGTGGGGATGCGGGGGACTTGGGCCTTGACCTCGGGGTGCACATGGAAGCCCCCCAGGTGACCGAGCCCCCCCGGCCGCGCAGGTTCCGGCAGCTGCTGGCCCAGCAGGAGCCCGAGGTGCAGGAGGTGTCCCGGCTGTTCCGCGCGGCGCTGCAGGAGGCCCTGGACGGCATGAAGCGGGAGGCGGCTGCACACCGGCTCACGCGGCAGTGGAGCCTGCGGCCCCGCGGCGGCCTGGCGCTGGCCACCTTCAAGGCCCGCGCACGAATCTGTCCCTTCGCCAGTGACATCCCGACCATCTCCGAGGACGTGGAGCGGGACACACGGCCCCCGCCCCGGGCCTGGAGCATGCCCGAGTTCTGGGCACCCAAAGAGAACTGACCCGCCCGTCCCTGCCCCGAGCAGAGCCACCGGTGGGAGGGCATGGAAGACCTGTGGCCATCCCTGGTCCTGGAACTTCCCCACCCGCTGCTGACCAGAGGCCAGAGGCCAGAGGCAACCCCATACCCAGACACTCCTGTGAGATGCCCCCCCCCCACTGGCCACAGGGCTCAGGGTCCGGGCTTGGAGCTGCAGCAGGGCCCCTGCCTCCCCTGGGTCTTGGCAGACAGACAGCCCCACCTTCTGCTCCTGTCTGGAAGGGGAAGAGTTGTCCTGCCTTTCTGCCAAGACCCAAGTCCTCACCCCAACCTCAGTGTGTCCCAGTCACCCCATCTCCCTGGGTAACGACGAGGGGCCTGTTGGGTGGTGTGAATTCTCTGCTGGTGACTGGTGGTCCCACCACTGCAGGTGGGTCCCAGCCTAGTGGGTGAGCAGAACTGGAAGGGGCCACAGAGCTCACTAGGCCCACTCTTCTGACTCCTGAATGAGGAAACTGAGGCTCGGAGAGGGCCAGGATTCTTCCACCTTGACATGCATCCAGATCCCCGGGAGGGTGGGGGGTGGGAGGGGATTGTTCCTGTCTACACAGTCTGTCCCTGAGTCCTTCAGTCCTGGGCTATGATGGGACAGGTGCAAGGACTGCACCTGCACCTACCTGTGGTCTGATTTCTCTCTTACCTTGGCTTTGTGTGTGGGGGGGTGTCTAAGCTACTCTCCAAGAAAGGTAGCTGGAGCGGAGGTAGGTTGCTGTCACCTCACCCCAGGGTCTCATCACAGAGGAGGTGGCCAGTCCCCAGCAGCTCCATCCAGAAGCTAAGCTTCAAGGCCTTCCAACCGGCTGCTTTGGAGAGTCCAGGTTCTGATTCCAGGGCCCCTCTAAAGCTGGTCCTGTCTTCTCTTCGGCCTTCCCCAGGGAAAGTAGTGCCCAAAAGCCTAACTGACCCTGAGGTACCTGAAATGCTTTAAAAGAGCCTCCCTAAAGGTTAGGCATGTGGAGTCTCCACATGTGGGGACTGCCATAGTGAATCTGGGAGGCCAGGTGGCCTCCCCACACGCACTGGGCTGAGTAGGGTACAGGGGAAATGGGTGGGGAAGTGTCTGCCCCCAATTATCCATGCACACTCAGAAAATGCAAGTGGATTTTAGTGTAAATAAAATGCTAGGCGAAGATAAGTCAGCAGGGGAAAATCCATATATTCCCTCATAAAACTCAGTGGAAAAATTTTTTTGAAATTACCTGATTTTGAATTATTTTCACTCAAATCTAGACAGAGTCACAGGGTGGTGAAAAACGACCCATCCAACACTGTCAAGATGGAGTTGACTGGCTCGTTCACGTAACTGGTAAAAGTTGAGAATCACTTCAATAAAAATATACATCTTAAACATCTTACATATTTTTAAGACATTAAAAAGCTCATTTAACTGCCAAACTTTTAATGTAGGTCCAAGCTGTGTTCACTGTGTGTGTGTGTGTCACATCTGTGGGGTGGGAGTGCTACACTTAAGTTGTATTGGGCTGTGTGTCTTTTAATCATAACAATAAGAACTGGTACAAATAAGTTTTGGAAAAAACAGAAGAGACCCTTAGTAAGCAGATAACTCAGTTGGTAGGGGCAGAGGTTTTGGGAAAAGAACTAGAAAAGGATTTCCTAGCCCTGAGCTTTCTGGGGGCCCTGGATGTGGGCCAGCAGGAGGAAATGGGGTGTCAGGGCAACATGGTGGGGGGTTCAGAGGAGGTCAGCTAAGAGAATGTCTAGTGTTTCCCTCCTTCCCCACCACCCTACATGTGCCCATTCTGCCCAAAGAAAAGGAAGACCTGAAGCTCTGTGTTGTGTCTTTTTAAGTTGAGGTAACTGGCCATCCACGGAGCCTTCCCACCCATCTCAGTCAAGAGACTGAACCCACCAGCGTTAAGACAACGGTTGTCCTACTGCAGCAAATCCCAATTGGGAATCAAACCTGTGGGATTCAGGTTAAAGGGAGTAATGAGGTCTGCCTCAATGTCTAGTTTAAGAACTCAGTAACATACAAAAGAACAAAACAGTCTGAGAAGTTCCGAGTGTGACAGCAGCTATTGGCTGCTGAAGGGGATGGGATTAGAGATGCTCGAGGCTCCCAGGACTGTGCGTTTGTGTGCCACTCAACACCACTGGCCACTAGAGGGAGCCAGTGCGGCTGGACAGCTCAGGGATTACATTTACGTTCACTTTGGGGGTTTTTTGCTGTTGTTATGAACATTTTTGAACAGAAAAGTAGAGAGAAAGTATAAGAAGCCCCCATATCTCCATCACCAGGGTTCAACTGTTATTAACATTTTGCCATATTTGCTTTATTTTTTGTGAAGTATTTTAAAATAAACCCCAGACACCATGACATTGCACCCCTGAATACTTTAGTGTGCACTGCAAAGGAATACGGAAATTTCCCCGTCACTAGAATACCAACACTCCCAACAAAATTAAGAGCAATTCCTTAAATATCATCTAACACCTAGTCCACATTCAAGTTTTTCTAACTATTTCCCACACATGATGTTTGCAGTTTATTTTTACCTTCACCAGAGGATATGTCCCCCGATTTGAGAGAAACATCGATCAGTGGCCCCTGTCCCCCTGCCCCAACCAGGACACGAATCCAAAACCTTTTGGTGTACCAGACCATGCTCCAACCAACGGAGCCAGCGGCCAGGGCTGCAGTTTATTTCTTTGAAGGAGGACCTAATCAAGCCCCACACACTGACGAGAAAGTTGTAATCTCTTTTCCTTTTGGTCATATTGTGTTAATGTAATTCCACAATGAAGTACTGTTTAAACAGAGAGTGCTTATGAAGCATTAGTATTAACATGCAGGAAGTTAATGACTGCACGTGAATGATGACAATTTTGCAAATTAGCCTAAGTGTTGTAGCACAGTAAGAGGCTGGAAAATTCCAGGACAAGGGGAACAGGGAAACTGAGACAGATAGTTAACCAGCAGTTTGCAGCCACCTAGTAAATGCTATCTTCCCTGACCCAAGGACACTTAAGGTAAGTGGTTTGTGCTCTCCTCCCAGCCAGAGGGTGGATAGCTTAAAACCCCCTGCTCTGGGAGATAGATCACAGAAGTCCAATTAGTGCCATTTTCCAACCACACCTAAGGACAGATGAAGTAAGAGAATACACCTCATTTTGATACATTAGCATAAAGCTCATGAATATTCTATTGCCCCTCCCCTAAGACTTCCCCTAAACGCTCAGCCTTTAAAACCCCTGAAGATGAAGGCCCCAAGGTCAGAGCTCCCCTGGAGCTCCCCATGGCAGCACCACTTCCTTTGTTAGGGACAAGCCAGCTTGGGGGCTCAGGTCTCCTGATCACAGTCTGCAGTTTTTTCTACTAGAACATACTTTAAAAGTCGCTGTTTAGATTTTCTTCATTAAAACTCTCTCTTGCTATCAGATGGGTACTAGATTTATTGGGGTGATCACTTTGTAACTTACATAAATGTCAAATCACTGTGTGTACACCTGAAACTAATATAATATTGCATGTCGGCTGTAACAAAAAATGGAAAACAAAAAAATTTTGAAAAGACTACCTGTTGCTTTTCTGAAATGTTTTACAATTCAGTACATTTAACTTTTATCCTGGAAATCATTATAGTTCTCCAAAGTGAGGTTTTTAAAGCAATGTGACCCATTACCCACACTATTCATGTGGGTAAGCACAGGCCGGAAGCAAGAGCTCGGAGAGGTCACAGTACCCGTCAGACCTCCGCTGTTCACAGCACTGCTGTCAGTCTCCCTCCAGAGAGCATGTGCTCAATTTTAATTAACCTACAAATTTAAAAAGTTTTGAAGTAATTTTAATGTCTAATGCCTACATTTTATTTTGTTCTTCTGAAGAGGTCATGCTTATCCCATAATTATGAATGTTAGTTTTCTTAGAAAAAAGAAAACAGTTTACTCATAAACTAAAATGCCTTTATTTTAGTAAATTCACACACACACACCTGAATCCTCTGCTAGTACATTTCAGAAAGTCGCGATTTGAAATATAAGGAAATAACTTTCTTGATACATAAATACTATGAGCCCAAGACCATACTG